CCCACCCTCTCCTTGTCCTGCTTCCCAGGTGCTATCTGACTGTCGCTGGTTGCATCTTCCCCCTAGAATTAGGGGACAGGAGGCCTGGACCATTCCCAATGTGCCTCCCCTCAGGAGTCCTCCCCCAAAGATCCCATCCCCCACTGGGCACGCGCCCGCGCACACACACAGACACACACACAGGACAGTAGGAATCACACACAGCACAACAAAGCAGCCAGTGTGAAAACCATCCCCACTAGTCACATTTCTCCCCACGTTGAGACTAACTGAACAGGGTCGCTCAGTCAGGGACCTGGGGATGTTTAGCCCCCTCCCTCCACGCCAGAGCATCAGCCGGGACTGGCACGGTCCCTACGACAGACCCCTCCAGCAGGGCCGGCTCCCCTAGGGTGCGCGGGCGTGCACGGTGCATGCACGACCCGGCTATGGCCACTGGTGGGCAGCCCAGGGCACGCCCCTAGGGCGCACAGAGCAAGCACGGCCCAGTCTGGCTCGGCCGTCGCGCGCGCTGGGCCGTGTAGAGCCCCGCAGCCGTGGGGGAAAGGGCGCTGCTGGCAGGCCACTGCGGGTGGGGGGGGGGCGGGGGGTGGGGGGGGCGGCGCCCCCCATCGGTTGGTGCCCTGGGCAGCTGCCCGGCTCGCCCATGCCTCTGTCCAGCCCTGCCTGCCACGTTCCAGCCCGGCAGGAGCAGCCTCCAGCTCAGCAGCTCGGCCCTGGCAGTCCTGATGAATCATTCACTGGCCGCCGGGCATTGCTGACCCCGCCGACTGTCATCCTGCTCTCCTTGCCCAGCGCGCCAACGTCCCTTCTCAGGCAGCATTTAGAGCAATGCTCCCCTCGGTCCTAGTAGGCCTGGCACGTTAGACAAGCCCCTGCCCCCAGGCATGCACCCCCCTTCACCAATCTCTGTTAGCCACAGGGAACAGCAGCGTTACAGCCCTACATGCTTTGGGGTTGGGGTAAGACAGCAGCTTGATTACGCCTCATAACCCCCCCAGCGCCACCCCCTCATACACTGAGCCCCCAAGAGAGCCAGTGGCTGGCTAGTAGGCCTGGCACGTTAGACAAGCCCCTGCCCCCAGGCATGCACCCCCCTTCACCAATCTCTGTTAGCCACAGGGAACAGCAGCGTTACAGCCCTACATGCTTTGGGGTTGGGGTAAGACAGCAGCTTGATTACGCCTCATAACCCCCCCAGCGCCACCCCCTCATACACTGAGCCCCCAAGAGAGCCAGTGGCTGGCTGCCTCCCCGCTACCTCCACCCCCTCCCTGTGTGTGTTCCCCAGCTGCCCCACGTGCTCCGCTTTCTCTATCCCCCCAGATCCTGTTCCTCCGGGTGCTATGAGGAATGCAGCTTCGCCTCCTGCCTCCCCTCTCTGCAGCTGGCTGCTCCCGCCCGGGCTGCCCTCTGTTCTGGGGCACAGAGGCCCTGGGAGGGGAAGGGGTAAATGCAGCACCTCTCGGGCAGCATGCCTCGCCTACGGAGAAAACACATCTGGAGGGGGCATAGCTCCTGCACACGCCCGGTGGCACAGAATTGCCTCCCCCCCC